ATAATATTTAGCCTTAAAAAGAAAAACATCCTGTCATTTTCAACATTAATGAACCTTGAATGTATTGTGTTAAGTGCAATGAGCCAGACAAAAGAAACTACTGCATGGTATCACATATGGAAGCCTATATAATAAAAGAGAAACATGCAAATTAACTGTCCTTCCACTATGCTTAAGCCACACGCACAAGCCACGTCCACAAGCCAATCAGAAGCAAGTAGGCAAATTAACCCAAATAAGATGGTGGCAGCCATGGAGCTGGAGTGAGCAGGAGGCTTGGGTTGCCCCCGGTGATGGAGGAAGCCAATCTTCCCACCTACCCAGGCCAGCTCTCGGCCCTACTCAAGGCTATCAAGTTTTAATTATAGAAAATAAATAAATCCCAGATTCCTGCTTCCAGCCAGCTGTGGCCTCCACTCAAGGAGGGGCTGGGAGCCTGGGTTGCCGGACCTGGGCTCCGCTCAAGGCTACAAAGTTTCAATTATAGAAGATAAAAAAAATCCCAGAAAAAAAAGGAGAGGCCGGGAGCTTGGGTCGTTGGGGGCGTGGCCAGCCTGAAAATGGCCATTTGCATGATTTACTTCCTCTGGTTTATTACTAAGAAATTAGAGTTAAATCACCACCACCAATTTCTATTGCTGGACCAGCTTTAAGGTGGTGATACTGCTTCAATATGACAACCATCCAAAGGTTTTTTTTGTTGTTATTTTTTTGTAACAGACTTCTCAGAAAAGGTCTAGACTTCTATTAAGAATATAAATGGACTGCAGACTGAAGGGTCCTAGGTTCGATTCCAGTCAAGGGCATGTACCTTGGTTGCAGGCACAACCCCAATGGGGAGTGTGCAGGAGGCAGCTGATCAATGTTTCTCTCTCATAGATGTTTCTAACTCTCTAAACCTCTCCCTTCTTCTCTTTAAAAAATCAATAATATATATATATTTTAAAAAAAGAATTGGGGGAGAAAATGCGTGGTTTGATATATATATTTTTTTTTTTAAAAAATATATATGGAACATATATTCCTTTGTTGTACCACCAACCAAATCCTCTAGAAATTTACTTAAGAACATTTTTACTAAAATGAAGAAGCATGCATTAAATATATAATAAAGTTGAACAACACCCATAGAGTAGCATTATCTTATAACATCATTTAAGTATCTGAAATAGGCCAGCTATTGAGGTATATTAAATTACTTTCTGACTACATTTTGTCATCAGAAAACTGCTGTTTTCTAGTGATTATATTTCAGCTATCCTAGCCAGAGAATATACAGAATGAGAGTGGAAAGTAGTGACTTATCCTTTAGGTTATCAACATTAAAACTGGCAGCACATTTTATAATTTAAAAAAATTTATACTTCATAATTAACATAATTCCTCAACAAAGCACACTATTCTGGTAGTTAGGAGAAGCCATATAAACGATATCACCCAACATAAATTACAATTCTACAGAAATGCTACCATAGGATCAGGGCAGGAAAAGCTTCCCAAAGCTGCCAAGAAATTTTTCAGGAGGCCACACTTGTTACAGATTGGGAGGAATGCCATTGCTACGGCTTCTTTCGTCAAGGAGGGGAGACCTGAATAGCACTCTATCGCCAATGGAATCAGCAGTATCTTATCTCAACAACATCCCACGTGAGTGAACTAAGAATAAAGGTATCACCTCAATAGACGCTGCCTTGGCAAAGGGCACAACTGACTTGACCACTTACTCTGTATATTCTGGTAAATCATATTTATAGAATAATTTTAAAAGTTACCTTGATTGAACATATTTACTGCTTCCTGGTCATTAATAGCTGGTGTCAAAAAACAAAAAGACTGAGATTAGTACATTAAGGACTGTGTGCAATTTTATTGTAATTTCTTAAAGGGTAGCCCTCAGACACCCATAGTCAGAAACACTTGGACAGCTGCTAAAATACAGATTCCTCAGCTCCTCATTTAGTAATGACGTCACTTCCACCAATGGCTAGACATCTGAAATGGCCTTTTAACTATTTCTTTCTTGTAATTTTCACATCTTATTGGTTTCCACATTTTGTACCTTCTAGCTTCTAATTTTCCTTTGAATTAGCCCCATTCTCTCCATCCCTTTGGCTATTGCATTAGTTCATGCTTTCGTCATTTGACACCTATACTCTTAAAATAACCTTCAAACTGGGCTCCTTTGCACTTTGCATGCATCCATCTCTATTTTACCACGCTGATTTTTCTAAAAATGTATATCAGGTCATATTCTTCTCTGATTGAAATCAGCTTCATATTTCCTATAAGCTAAATCTAAACTCAGACAGGCTTATCATGCTCTCTAAAATACATCTGTGCAAATTTATTGGCTGCCAGTAGTGACACAGGGCTTTGGTATCTCATCTGCTGTGTGTCAGAGGAGCTAAAAAATCCTTTTTAGAGGCAACATAAATAAAAAGAGCTGACCATTGCTCTTCCTCCTTAGAATAAGAGAGACTTGACTTCAAATCCTGACACCCCTACATGTTGACTCAATTATCTAGCTTTTCTGAGTGTTAACAATAAAAATATGATAGGATTGCTGTGAGGATTAAACAAACTAGTGTCTGAGTGTCAGCCAGTCAGAAAGGACATGACCAGCCATGGAACTGGAGCAGTGTCTTGGAGGTCTGTTCTGTGCCAAGGATTAACTCTTTACTTGCTGGCAGAGGAAATGGGAGTCCAGAGTAGGACTGGGAGGGCTTGGAGGGGCTGGGGAGAAAACTTTGTGGTCCTGGTGCAATGATTGTTTACCAATAGATTCCAAATTGCTTTCCTCTCTGTTGGTAGAATCCAGATTAAATAGCAGTCCAGTGTGGGAGCCATCAAAATCCTTTAATCTTGAATTTATTGTGAGAGAATCATGGTTTATTAAACGTGTTATAAGATAAAGTTGGAGGAGTGTCCTTAAATTTTATGCATGTACTAAGTAATTCCTTTCCTTTAGTCATGTAACAAATATCAATGGAGTATCTATTATACTAAATGCTGAGTAGTAGGACAGTAGGATCAACAAGGCAGACTAGTTCTTGCCTTTAGTAAACTTACAGAAGAGGATGAAGATAAGCAGTACAAAAATCACATAAATAATTTTGTGGTTTTCTTTGTGATAAATACTATGAAGGTAAATGAAAGAGTCTGTGACAAGGGTAGGTAGTTGAGTAACGGAAGTTAGGAAAGGTTTACATTAGAAAGTAATAATTCTGATGAAAACTGACAGATGCTCTGGGGTGATCTAGGGAGTATTATAACAAATGGGAGCAATGTGTGCAAAGGCCCTGAAGCAGGAAGAGAGGAGCCTGGTAGTTGGGGAAAATGAAAGTGTGGCCAGAATGAGGATGAGAGTGGTATAATACAAGGCTGGAGGGGTAAGTATGAACCAAATCATGCAGCACTTTAGATGAAGTGGCTCTATCCTTTATTGTCCAAACCAGGACATTTAGGGGGCAATAGTTATCATGGTTCTTGGGATAACTGGCATGAACTGAGACTGTCCTGGGCAAACCAGAAAATATGGTATTCCACTTAAAGGTGTCTGTGCGTGTGCGTGTGTGTGTGTGTGTGTGTGTGTGTGTGTGTGTGTGTTTTGTGGGAAGCTGTGGGAGGCTTGTAAGCAAAATCATTTGTATTGTAAAACATTTCCTTAATGAATTTGTAGAAAATAGATTGGAAGGGGTCAAGAAAAGTATATAAGGAGAGCAGTATGAAGGCTGGTGCAAAAGTTCAAATGAGACATGATGTTGGCTTGAACTAGAGAGGTAGCAATTGGGATGAAGAAAATAGATATAGATTCAAGAAAGGCAGAAATAGAGATAATTTTCAGAAAGAATATAAAGATATTGCTAAATTTCCTAATTTCCTTCTTTATTCTACAAGTATTTACTAGAAATCTTACAGCTGCATGCTCTGTTCTGAGTGGGGTCACTAAATGGGTCTCTGACTTTGAGAAGCTATTTACCATTCCTGTAACATACATACAATTGAACACCTGACAACATTCCTCATAAGGAGTATTGGAAGGGGAAATTAATAAAGAATTTTTAATAAATGAAATTTACTATATGAATTCTAGATGATTCTTTAAACTTTAAAATGTTTCATATTAGAGGGTTACATATTGGACCTAGATTCATAATATATTGTTTTCACAAAGTTTAACTTCATGGGGAAAAAGGCCAGTTTCTCATTAATTTAAAATATGGGTTAGTTACATTGAGGGATATATTGAAATAAAATGGTAAAAAACAAGGTACTTGCCTTCTACATCAGTCGGAGGGTTTATTTCCACGTTTCCAAAGTTATTCAGTATTTGATGTAAAACAGACTCAATTCTGCTTTTCATTGATGCTGCATTGTTATTTCTAGAGAATTTAAATTTCATAACAGTATCTGCCATCACACCACTGCCTTTTTGCCTGAAAACCATAAAGATATTTTTAAAAATGGATAATTATGATAATTATCTGCCACAGACAAGGAGAATATATTTGCAACTCAGAAAGGGACAAATGATTGGTACCTACTATAAATGTGGAATTCTACAAATCAGTAAGAAAAGACTAACAAGAGAAAAAGTAGAAAATATATAAATGTGCAATTCAAAGGAAAGGGATCCTTAGTGAAAGATAAACATGTAAATAGCTGCTCACACAGGACAGTGTTTTATACTTAATAATTTATTTGATCTTCATAACAACCCTATCAAAGAGTCATGTCACTTCATCTTGGGAATTGTGAATAAAAACTGGCTTTTCAAGGGTAACCGTTTCCTGATGTGTTTGCTTTCTGTAGCTCAAATTCTCCATTAATACACAATATTTTAATACAGAAGGGGGAGGGGGGAAAAGTGTGTGTGTGTGTGTGTGTGTGTGTGTGTGTATTTCACGCAGAGGGGATAGCTTATATAAAGGTCTGAGTTAAGAAGAGTGAAGAACTGAAAGAAGTCTAGTGGAGTAAAGAGCAGAGTGGAAAGTAGTAAAAGATAAGCTCAGAGATGAAGATGGTAGGAAGAAGTCAGGTAAAGGTTTAGTAAATTTTTTTACTACATAAAGAGACATTGTCTCTTTACTCAAAGAGACATCTTATTTATATATGTATTAAAATACACACACACACACATAATGTGGATTGAAGGAAAGACAGAAATTTAAAATGACTCATATTTCTTTCTTGAGCAACTAGGTTAAAGCTTTTGCCATTAATAGAGGTAGGCAACACTAGAAGAGTAACATTTGGTGAAGGAGAGATGATAGGTTCAGATTTGGAAATAGGTTCAGCTAAGGGTAAGTGAATAAAGGGAGAGAAAATACAGATAGCTCATTCAGTCCTACATGTTTTGAGAGCTGGTGGCTAATACAGAGACTTTCACAAGGCGGTACTAAGGCAAATGTGCACTGAAGTGCATTTTGGAAAATACTTTTTTCATGGATTCTGCCCACTCCTCTAACTCTCAACAAAATTTATCCGTCCAGAGCTCTAGCTCCATGGCTTCTTATTAGGTGACTCTACAGAGAATAAGAAAAATTAATTTTTCTTGTAGTATTAGTATTTGAGGAAGAACAGAATCATTCTCCTTTCAAAGAATGTTTGGACATTGCTTGTAGAATTGAGCAATGTGGGCATTTGAGGCATTTGTGGTAGGGTTAGTGAGGGGTGACTATTTTAGTTGTGAATGCTTGTCTTATCACATCATGTAAATAGGTACACATTCGATTAAGGCAGGAATGGCAAATAGCTAGCATGCATGCTGCTACTCCCCCTGTTATTAATTTATGACAGACATGCTTGCATTTGCCACAGCATCTTTATATTATAGCATTCCAGGCAAACAAAAGCACAAAGCCACTTTTGATGTTGGCTGTAGTGTTCTGATCATGGATGCATAAGGGCAGGACCACAGCACTGCATAACTCCAGGGGGCCCTATTTACTTAGACTGCATTGTGAATGGTAGCCACTGGATTTATACAACAGGACAGCCCTGTTACCTTACCTTCACCCATATCTCTCTCCACCCCTTTCTCTTTTTCCTACCAAAAATTAAATGTAGTTATTTATATTAGTAGATAAATAGGTCATATCTGACATGTTTTGTTTTTGTTTTGGCATTGTTTTTTTAAATTGCTTATGATACTATTCTCATAATATTGCATCGAATTCTGTGAAGGTTTCATTCATTATTCATGCTGTGAATAAAAGTCAAATGGGCCAAATTGCATCCAAGTTTCCATACTTTTTGATATTGTTCCACTTACCTCAGTTTGACAACATGAGCTCGGATGAACTGATTTCTTAAATCTGATTTTTTGAATGTTGTAGTAATCTGTAGAAATAAAGGGGGGAGGAAACCCTCTGTAATTACAGTTCTTCTCCTTAATCTTTGCTCCCAACCTCACAACATGAGAGTTACGTAAATGAGATAATAGGGACTGAGTAACTAGTTCAGCTCAGTTTAGTTCCATTCCATTTCAGAATACATGGGATTGATTTAGGCAGGTTATATAACCTTTTGATGCATGCCCATTTTTTTCATTTGTTGCACAAAGATGATAGCGGATAAGATGTGTCTCACCAGAAGACATTCTTAACATGCGTTACTCAATGAGAGACCGTGTTATGTGATTTGGTGGCAAGCCAACATTAGGGAAGTCCACTGATACAACTTATATTGTGTAACCCTTTTAACAACTGCTTTTAAAAGTTAATACCACTCTTTCTGTGATTCCAGCTGATATTTTAAAACCAGTTTAAATTTAATTGATATCTCTTAATAATAATAAGTATATAATTTTTAAATAATATATATGTATATATATGTATATATTTGATGGTCTTTCAAGTTGGATTTCAAAACTATACTTGAAATCACATGGAAAGCTTTATCAAATAAAAATTAATAAATATATTTTAAGTGTTTTTGCCTCTGAGAAAGGGCACAACAAATTATTTTGTTTAATATTTCTTAAAATACAGCAGTGAAATTTTAAGATGTAATTTGAAATAACAAAAGCTCCTCACTACTGCATTTTAAATTAGGCTGGAAGTGGTGCAGCGTTTGCCCCTTATGAATCAGAAGTTTACTAAATACTAAATTTACTTGCTTTGCTTTTTAAAAAGATACTTACTTAAATTACTATCCTTGTAAGCAATTGAATTCCCCAGTGGATATTCAGGGGAACTTGGCTGTCACCTATTAAAATATATAATAAAAAGTTAAAACCAGGTTAAAATGGGTAGCAATGGAGATCTTGAAGAGAAGGGGAGAAAAAAGCAAAAGGCAGCCTTTTCCTTGATATTTCTAATTAATATGTAAGCATCAGGTATTTTTAGCATCGGTTGGTAATTTCCTGCCCTGCCCTACTTATCTCCCTGAATCATTGCTCAGTCCCAGCAAGGATGGCCCTCTTCAAGTTTAGCTTTACAGTGAATGAGGAGTGGTTCTAGGACTGGAACAGTTCCCCCAAATTGCAAGGTCAGATATAGCAAGGTTTTGTAATGGAGAGTGGATTCCGTTCCATTCCATTCCATTCCAACTGTGAGGTTGCACCAAGGTGGAGTTGGATATGAAAAGATGAAGGTAGGGGAATAAAGTAGCATGCTGAATGCTACCGTAAGCCAGATTTTGAAGCCAATTCTTTAAATTGTAAAGTTTATGCCATCTCTATTACACCATCTTGTATTTCACTTTTTCAATATCCATTTCTATAGGCAGATGTCAAACCAACCAGCTGTTGGACAAAATGATAATTTCTTTTCTAGAGAGGCCTTGAACATTTTTAAGAATGAGACTAGCATTTTCTCAGTTAGCTGGTTGAAGAGGATGGAAAACTTCATAGGTGAGGTGAATGGCACATGCAAAGTTCTGCAGTGGGAACAAATAGGTTGTGTTTAAAGAATAAAAGAAGGCCAGTGTGAGCATGCAGCATAGCGAGCAAAGGGGCTAGGGTGACAGGAAAGGCCAGACCAGGCAGCATTATCTTAAATAATGGGAAGTCACTGACATTTTTTAAGTAAGAGGAAAATATAATCAGATTGCAATTTGAGAGCAGTGTCTCTGGATGTGTTATTTCTTAGGGAAGAAATAATGCCAATTGTTATGGTGCTATTTTAGTATTCTAGAGTAGAGGTGATGGCTTGGATGCCTGTGGTGGTAGCACAGAAGGACAGATATGAATGGATTTGAAAAATAATGTAGGATAAAACCTACAAGAATTGGTAATGAATTTGATATTTGGAATGACAGAGAGCAGTATGTCAAGGGTGAATTCTAAGTTTTTGCTTTGAAAAACTGAATAAATGACATTATCATTAATGTGGCTAGGATTATTAGAAGAAGGCTAGGATGGCGTGAAAAGATCATAGATTTGGTTTTGGGACATAATATATTTGATATTTTTTTTTTTTAAAAATGTCAAGTAGAGATATCAAGCTGGCAAATGGGTGAAAAGTTCTGAAGTACAAAAGAAATGTCTGGGCTGGAGATAGAATGAGTCACTAGTGTACATTTTGGTTGAAGTCATGCTCGTAGATGAGATTATCTAAAGATAGAAAACATTGTGAGAAGAGAGGAAGGGATAGGCCAAAGCCTTGGGGAATTCAACATTAAATGGCCGTGTAGAGGAGCATGAGCCTGTAAAGGACATAGAGGAGTGGCCAGAAAGGTAGGATAAGAAAAATAGGTGAATGGGTGGCACAAATATCTCTCATGGAAATCACAAAATCATAGGCTTTTTGTATTAGAAAGTACTATAAAAATAATCTAGCCCAACACATTTATTTTACTTATGAGTAAACAGAACCAGAAAAGCGAAGTGAATTGCTTAATATAATAGAAGGTTCCAGGACTAGTTCACTGCTCATTAAGTAGAACAATGTTGTCTATGGGACAAGGATAATGAGGGTACTGATGTTACCAATGGGAAATTATATGATTCTTGGATTTGTGGTCAGGAGACCTTGGTTTCAATTCTGGTTCAACAACTTTCCAGTTGAATGGCCTTTGATGTTTCTTAATCTCACAACCTTTGCTTACTGGCCTATAAAAATGATTTATTAATTCATATGGCTGTTATGAGTTGCAGGTTAGATAATATATGTCAAAGTGCTATGTAAACTATAAAGCACAATTTTAAAGTATTATTCATGTTATGTTTTAAATGTTTTATGTGTTTTTACAGAAGGATAAATGTATAAGATTACCAAAATCATACATCAGAAAAATTTCACAGGAGATCTTGCTTTGACAGGTGTTTAAATAGATTCTAAAGCCATAGTACTCTAAGTAGTTTGGTACTGTGAGGCAAGATTAATCAGTGGTAGGGAGTAGAATACAGAAAAATAAAAGGAAAAATTTAGTGTATGATAAAGGTAGCATGACAATTAAATCAATTACACTATTTAACATATAGTGTTGGTACCACCACCTAGCTATTTCTTGGGAAAAAACTGTATATCTATCTTACTATAAAATAAATTTCAGATGAATCAAAGATAAAATTACAAAAAGTGAAATAATTAAAGTACAAAAAAGGAAATGTGAGTGAATGTGTTAGAATATTTGGAGTGGAGAAAGACATGTTTAACTTGGCATAAAAGTAAGAAATCATCAAAATGATTGATAATTTTAGCTACATAAAAATACTGAACCTATTGGGCATAAAAAAACCCCTACATTATAAACAAGGTTGAACATCAAATCCCATATCAGGAAAATATATGCAACATGAATGATAGATAAATTTTAATATTCTAATAAAGAAAGCCCCCCCCCTCCAGATTATGTAAAAAGGACAAATGCTTCATCCTATATGATAATCTACACTATTAAAAGAGAAATATGGTAATTGGCATACGACCGCTACCCTTCCCATGGGCTAATCAGCGAGATATGCAAATTAACTGACAGCCAAGATGGCAACCGGCAGCCAGGCAGCTTAAACTGAACATGAGGCTTGCTTGCCTCAGTGACGGCGGGCTCCAACGTTCCCGCCTGCCGCTGCCGGCCCCTGAGGGGGCAGTGTGCA